AACCCCTTCAGAAGAAATTTCGCACTTCAGGTAGGTAACTGATCCACGAAACAGCTGGCATTTAGTCGGCTTGAGTTTCAAACCAGCACCCTGAAGTCGAATAAAAACCTCCCGCAAACTGCTCAATGAAGCGCCAAAATCGGACCCGTGGGCTAAAACATCATCCAAATAATTGGAACATCCTTTCCCGATAATTCCACCCAACACTCGATCCATCATCCGCTCGAAGGTTGCAGGTGCATTGGATAGACTAAATGACATGACTACAAACTGATAGTGTCTTTTTCCCGGAAGACTGAAAGCAGTTTTCGCTCTGTCAGATGGATCAACTCCCACCTGCCACCTAGCCGCTAGCCAAGTCAAACGTCGAGAACCAAGTTGATCCGCTAAGGGACTCCACGATGTCATCGATACGAGGTAAAGAATAAGCGTCCTTGTACGTAATTGAATTAAGTAATCTGAAATCGATGCGAAAGCGAGTAGTGCCATCTTTCTTTTGTATCAGAACAATGGGTGACGAGTATGGACTGTCACTCAGCTCAATAACCCCTTGATCCAGCATCTTGTCAACAGCATCCTCTGCTATTTGTCTCCTTGCCCAGCCCAGACGTCGCGGAGCCTGCCGAATAGGCTGCGGTGTTCTAGTTACTATGTGATGGCGAGCAACCGATGTACGCCCGAGTTCTCCATCGCGGCCGACAAAGATGTCCTTAAACTCTCTTAACAAAAAAGACAATTGTCGGTACTGGTCGGCCGAAAGTCCTTCCGTCGATGAAATCAAGTCCTGAAGTTTATCAGGTAATCCATTGAATTCTTTCGCATTTTCAGGGACTGGCGCCATCATTGTTTCACGGACAAAGTATGGTTGAGTTATGCCAATTAAAGATCCCGTGGGTAGGACAGCATCATGGTCCGTTTAATTCCAAACGGGTACCTACTTTTTATATGGGTCAACCAACGTCAGCAAAGCGACCAAATTGATGCTGCATATCTCCACTGGCTCAACAACGGCTACTATGTTAGTTCCCTGGACGGGGCCAAGGCTGTTGTGGCTGAGCGTACAACAATTCCAGAGCGGGCCGGTATAACCACATCCTGCTCTACGGTCACACGACAGCAGGGAACCGATGTTTGGTGCTGCACAGTAACACCTTGTTCCTCAAGAACAAAGCAACCCGATGAGGGATACAGAACGCAGTCCCATTTGCCAAGATAGTCCATATCTAGAATGCCCATCCGTGACCCTAGATCGGCGACAGCAACGGTATGCTCCACAGACAAGCTTCCAATCGTTAGGTTGACATCAAGTGCACCATGAGACACTAATGACTCGCCACTGGCAGTACGCAGTGGTACTTGAAAAAAATGTCCGAATGTTACTGCAACATCGAGTAAACAGCGGTGTCAACGAGCAAGACACCCGCACCGGTATCAATCAAAAACAAAACAGGCACGTTATTGACCAAAGCCTTGACATGCCATCCATTAGTCCATGTAAGAGAAGAAATCATAGACGAGAGAAGTGGGTCCATAAGATCATCCAAAATTATGTTAGCAGGTTCAGAATATGCAACTGCAATGGCACTACACGCAAACAGCACAGGGTCCCAACATTAGTTCACTGTCCAGCACAAAAACATCCAATCAATCCCACAAACAAACATCCCCGATAACCCACCGGAGACCAGAGGAACTCCCACAGACACCACACCAACCGAAAACAACCACACTGTACCGGTACCAACCACAGCACATGCTAACAGGCCACACCCAGAAGACAGACCGACAGTGTCACAGCGCCCACAGTGTCTTCAATGCCGAAATACCAAATATGGAAACAATATCACATGACATCATTTAACAGATAAAACAAAGGTCGTTACATTACAAAATGAGTCAAGTTCATTTGGAGCTATTTTTTCGGTCGGTCGGTGGGTTTAAAAACAACCCGACTGATCAGGACTTCTGCTTACAAGCGCATGTTAGTGAGAACAATGACATTAAACAACATTGTTTAATTTCATTGGTGAGAAGTAGTATGAAATGCACGGGAGGAAATAGTCAACCCTAGGATTGTACACGAATGCTCCACCTTGTTGAGAATTGCGCTGGTCATTAAGAAAGTGTGAGTTTAACTACAGCTAGCATCATACGAAAATATGAACTGGGTATGAGAGATCCAGCCCCTGTTGAACATGACTATGATGACAAGCCAAATATTACCACGCTGTCTGAATACAAGTACGAGCTGTAGTCAATGTGCAGATGTGCTAATATCGGACTCGTATGCGGCTTCTAGCTTTTTGAAATTCAATAAGAGACGGGGTTTGACCAAACCATCTAATAGTGTTGTATACATCTGTCAAAAAATCGAGCATTGCTTTCAGAGAATATTAGATAGATTTTATTTTCAAAACTCCACCATAAACAATAATTATAAATGGAGAATTCTGGAGAGCGAGCAAAACTTTTAAAAAAGTTTAAAACATAAGAATATCATGTACCCGCCCACCAGCACACACACACACACATATTTTTTTTTTTTTTTAGGAAGAAACACAAACCTAGTTAAACCGTTAAACGAGGCTTGGGCCAGAAATAAACAAAAAAAAGATGCGCAAATATATTGGACGTTCGGGCTGTTTTACTTTTAAAGTACTCAAGCTAATAAAGTAATAAGGACTTATTCAATCTTGCACGGTATATCTGTATAAACCAGTTTGTTAACTGTACTGGTTAGTTTATTATGACCCCACCATTGATTGACGATAGTTTTGCCCTACGTTCGTTAACCCAAATTGTCTATCTGTCGATAGCCTTCGGCCGTAGCAAATAGACGATTGAATCACCCTATGAGTTTTATTGCAATTCCGACAATATACACAGAATACGATGCACACACAATTAGATCAAATCTTATCTGACTAACATTAAAAACATAGCAGAATATATAGGTTTCTACAGAGCAATTAAAATTTAATCAAGAAACAGATTTTAAATTAACAATGAAAGAATAACGCGTCATTCCGGTTTCGACTCCAATTATGAGATTTAAAAATTGTTTATAAGTGAATAATTAGTTTTTACCGGGATGTTTCGAATTTACGTTATTGGAATTTTACTGGAAATGAAATTTGTTTTTACATGGGATGGCACCGAATAGCTATCAAAATTTGAAATTGGATTTCGAGAAATTGATATTGCGGGAATAATTAATTTTGTTTTTTTTATAAATTTCAACTGAAATTTGGGTTAAAACTCTTGGGTTGCTATAAATATTGAGACCTATGGCATATGGGCAAAGAGAAGACTGCTGAAATCCATCAGTCAAGAATTAGAAGGCGCATCAACATTTACATAAATCGAGCTCTTCGAACAAGTACGAATACCCGCCGCGCGAAATAACGAACTTGGCATTACAGACGCATCCAGACATCCCATCTTTTTGAAGAAGCTTCTGTGAGAATACATAACTTCCCTGTTCAGGAAAACCCAGTAACTATGGTCCGAATTACTTCAGTTGAAAGTACACCATGCAATAAGGCAGTTCAAATGTTTAGCAGTGAAGATACATAAGTTAGTCCGTATTCAATTTAAAATATTAAAAATACTTTTAAAGCAACATTTACATAAAGCGAGCTCTTCAAAGCAAGTACGAATAACAGCCGCGCGAACTGAAGAACTCGGAATCTTGGACGAGCGCCACCCCTCCAAAGTTCAATGAAAATGCTGCTGGCAGCATCGGTCAAAGGTCACGAAAGTCGATAGTTGTTAGTCGTTGATCAGCGTGTTGGAGCTCTTCTGAAGAACGTGACCAAAATTTAATAGCCTACTTGGAAGAATATTATTCTGAATGAAAATATTGCCTTGTTTCATCTGCTATTGCAGCCTCCAAAAAAAGTTAAATACCGGTACCGGTATACTTCTATGAACAGTAAACGTGGCAATCAAGACGTGCAACTCGGCAGGGGACTAGGGGGTGGATGAATTGTCCTGTCCGTCAGCAAAATACCGCAGCTTAAGTTAAGTGGCACGCGATGGCCCAGGCCTTGTCCATTTTTTTAGTTTACTACCAAACTTCTTAGACTAGACTGTTTTTATGTTCGGATGTTATTATGTCCATAATTCAGTAGTTTTGCCAGTGCACAAGGGTTTTATATTATTAACCACAGCCGCATAGCATGAAATAATGAGGTACTACGGTACCAGTAACTCAGAATTTTAGTAGCTAGGCACAGCACTAATTCACAAGCCGTGATAGGCCTACTCGTGGTGGTCGGTACAGTACAGGTACCGGTACAACCATTGAATGGAAATGGTACCGTACCGTAGTTTAGTAGCAGTTACCGGTACATATACTATGTGATATAAATTTTCTACGCCTACTTCTAATTGTGCACTTTTTGGTTTTCATTGCTTAACTAGAATTTTAAAGTAAGTCTGTCATGTGCGATTTGTTACCAAGTTTATATTGTACATTCAAAGAATATCGCTGAGTTTTTAAAATCTTCTTCTGCAATCGAGTTAACGCTAATGAATTTTATTTTTGATGATGGACCTTGATAGATTATGATCATATTTGACATTAACAGGCAGCGAAATCATTTGCAAATAAAAATTTAGGCCATAATTTTATTCTGATTTTCCCTATTTTAGTTATATTATGAGTTCAGGAACTGTTTGCGTTAGCCAGGTTGATATACCCCCTGCCCATAGGTTTTCCGTCCTTTTACACAACTTGATGTAAAATATGCGAACAAAATTAGTTACCTCCATATTGGTACACATACTTCTGGAACGCCTAACTATGTGCGAGTGGAGTGCCGTAGGTGGTTCACTAGCTGCTGGTTCAGTTACAGCTTCATGTTCATGCATCTGAAAACAAATAAATGGCTAACTAATCCCACACCCAACATGGACTGGTAACAGGACGGGAGGCTTGATACCCAGGATAAATATGTAAATCCTATCCATTACCACTACTGCGGTAGGAGGCCCGACCGCTCTCCAGAAGTCAGTTTCGGGTATGGGATTAGCCAGTCATTTGATTTTCAGATGCATGGACTTGATTTGATGGTGATGGGAGGGAATTCGTAACGACCACTACAGCATTATGATGGTGAGGAGTACAGCAATCCTTTAACACATAATTATCGTCAACTGGATTCGAACCTGCAAACATATGAAGGGTAATCAGTGATGCAATGGCAAGCATATTGCTAATGCTTAAAGTTAGCATAACGTACCATACCGCTGAGCGTATGTGGTATAGCAGGTTTCAAAGGGAGAAGTAAAGTACTGTAACTTTTGTTGCTACCCTGAGAGAATGGCATGTGTTTATTCAAGTTTTGTTTACTGCATTGCTATAGCAGTACAGGGTGTGTATCACTCAAGGTTTCATAACAAACGAGAAAATTTTTCCATGTTTGTCTCATTTGTGGACTCCCATAACACAACCTGTTGGCATGACTGACAGTTCATCTTGATTCTAATACAGTTTACAGAATTAACAGGAAAAACTACAGTTCGGCATAATGTCTGATGATACTTTCATTCGCTATATTGATATACCAAGTAAAGAATTGTCAAGACTCGCAATTCACCAGGAAAAGGTCTGAAACATTTTATGTAACATTCTGCATAAATATCTGCCTAGGAATAGAATTGTGAATTATTTTTATGACAGGTTGGTGATGTTGGCTGTGTCGTTTGGGATGCAGCTTTGGTCCTTGCTTACTACCTTCAAACACAGAAAGCGAGGGATCATTTTGTTCGTAACAAAAATGTTATCGAACTAGGGGCTGGAACTGGTATTGTTGGTTTGGTTGCTGCAGCGTGTGGCGCAAAGCTGGTCATATTAACTGACCTTCCCGAACTTCTGCCACTTCTACAGAAGAATGTAGTAGAAAACCAAGAAGTTTTTAAGGAAAATGACCGTAATGTCAATATATTCCAGTTACGATGGGGCAATATTGATGATATGAATACAATAGTTAAAAACACTTTTATGTTCAGCAAAGACAATAGCATAAAACATGAGTTTCACTGTGTTTTGCTGGCTGATTGTGTGTATTATGATGAAGCAGTGGAACCACTTGCTATAACCATTAATCACATCATTAAGACCAGCTTAAATGACACAATTGTGCTTTGTTGCTTTGAAGACCGTGACACTGGGAATAAGCAAGAACTTCAAGAACGCTTTAGATATATTTTAAGCAAAAAATTCAAATTAAAGATTCATCAAGTACCCTATTCAGATATGCATGATGAGTTCCGCTCACCAGATATTCACATATTTCGCATTTCAAAATAAAGTAGCGCCATGCTTGCTTTCAGACTACCACCAGTGATATCAGGCTGTTTTACTGAAAGACTGCATTTGATATGCCAGCCAGTTTAACACATTTCAGCTTTTGAATTAGGAATTATTTGGTTTTGACCATGAGTGGCTGGCATATGTAAATTACAAAAACACAATTACCGTACACAAAGATCAATTTTTCAAAAAATAACAAAATTATTTTATAGTCAAGTGCAGCTGGAACTGAATTTACTACTGTTTTGTATGTATTCTGAAATAAAATTTTAGAGCATTCAATTTGTATTTTCGCAAATAAACCATTTCGAATTATTGCCAAATGTGACAATTTTATTCCTTCCAGTCACCCCTCTCCATTAATCTGCGTTCAAAAACAGTGAAAACCCGTCAAAAATCCTGTTTTTTTCCCCTCCCAGTAAATTCCTCTTGTTCCATGCTCATGTGTGTCAAATTCTGCCGTTAATATTGGGTATGTGTAATACGCTTTGGCGAAGAAAATATAAAAAATATTGGTTGACATTTCATGTACAAGGTCAAATACTTATTATATATTATGTCTTATTTCTAGTAATTTTATGTGACAAAGTCTACCAGATCATGCTTGTTTCGGTACAAACATACCCATGGAATGGATTATCCTTCTCGACAGAGGGCAGCGCACATAACTCAATAACTACCGTATATTAGTGATAAGAACGGGAACAGAACTTCGCTTTGATGGTCCAAATTTGTTGTTGTCATCCAGTTATTCTCTTGTAATCGGCAAACCAAAAGCTTAGGTATCATATTTCGTCAAACCTAATGACTCTTTAAATCATTTTTTTCACACTATATTTAGCAGCAGGTCTCATTTTGAAGTGGCAAATGCGCTTCCCCGCACGAACAGCGGTTCCAATTAAGATTGAAAATAAATTTTATTCACCTTTTAAGTATACGAATTGAAGATTAGCAATATTAATTAACAAAATTAAATCCCTCTAAATTCATCCTCAATTTCATTATTGGAATCCAACGATGCTTTCATTCGTTTTCTCAACGGTATATAATGATTCATTGACCTCGGAATTTTCGTCCTACTCGACAGCCCAATGATCCGACCAGACCTCGTCATCTTCTGTTCTATCCATGGCATTGCTGATACAACACCTGTTGAAACATTATCCACAAATGCATTATGGTCAAGTCAGCCTTATTCATCGCGCCGCCTGTGTTGTCCGCATGATCGCCTTTAATCATCCAATTTTCTCACTTCTTTCTAAGTAGCCCCTTCCGACGAACCATCCCATTTCTTGGGTGGTGACGATGATGCCCAGCGGAATTAACTACATTGTCATAGTTTTCCGGTACATCTGACTTACTGTTTCAGCCCCTCGGTCAGTTGTTGACATATAAAATGTTAGAGGAGTGTGATCGGCATTTCTGATTTGATGGAGGCCGTACTCGTGAAGCTTACGTAGTCGAAGAACATCGTTCCAACTAATTTGACGAAATGTCGTTTTAAAAATCCACGACACCATCGGTTTGACGCCTTTCACTTCTGAAACAATGTATAATGACTCATGGGGCAAAAGGCTTGGTGGGATTTGTATCGTAACTGGTCTACCTGAAGAGATGGTAGAATCTGATTGCAATCATTCGGATATACTCGTAGACTCGCACAAGAATCCGTACATTGGCCGGTTGGTTTCGAATGGGGATTCCACTTTTGGATTTTCGGATCGCATCTTTTCCGAATCGATTCGAATCAGATTTACGCGATTTGGAAAAAGATATGGATTTACCGAAAAAAAAAAAAATTTTGAACGTTTGTTAAATCGTTGTTTTCGGTGACTTTAAATCTGCCGAATGCGTTTATGCGGCACTCCAAATAACACCAAATTACGGGACAGAAAAAAAACATTGAACGTTTGTTAATCGTTGTTTTCGGTGGCTTTAAATCTGCCGAATGCGTTTATGCGGCACTCCAAATACTACCAAATTACGGGACCGAAAGAAAAACATTGAACGTTTGTTATTCGTTGTTTTCGGCATCGTTAAAACTGCCGAATGCGTCTATGCGGCACTCCAAATAACACCAAATTACGGGACGGAAATAAATGAAAATGAATTTTTCGTGATTGACTTTTTTTTACTTATCTGCCGTGTGCCTTCATTTGTTCCAAGTTTGACACAACACTGTTTTACGCATCACTCGAGATAATGTGTGGCGTAATTTCCACCAAACTGCGAGTTCAGTTTTCCACGGAATAGCCCAAGTTTCTATTATGCGCGAATTTAAATGGATCGTATACCTGAAAATACGTGACAATTTTGATAACAAATTTCAACAGCACACCTGCGCTGCGACCAAGTTATTGTACGCCCTAGCATGATTGGATAAAGAATCAGGTACCGACATCTAGATAATATAAAATTTTGATTGAAATTTGATTTAAACTTTGTTCTGAGTAAAATATTTCGCGTACATTTGAAGAGAACTATTACTGAATGAGTTCATGCGCGAATTTAAATGGCTCGTATTCCTGGAAATTCGTGACAATTTTGATAACAATTTTCAACAGCACACCTGCGCTGCGACCAAGTTATTGTACGCCCTGGCATGATTGGACAAAGAATCAGCTACCGACATCTAGATAATATAAAATTTTGTTTGAAATTTTATTTAAACTTTGTTCTGAGTAAAATATTTCGCGTACATTTGAAGAGAACTATAACTGAATGAGTTCATCGGCCGGCAATGTTAATTGACAATCGTGTTTCTCATTCTGGAAAAAATACAAATTTATTTTGTTTGCGTTTGTCAGGCTTCCACTCAAGTGGCGGTAAACGAAATCAGTGGGACATAATGTAATAGTACATACACGTCTTTTTTCAGCTGTTACAAAAAAAGTAGTTTTTACTTTCAATTTTACCAGAGCGATACAAGCGGGAATAAAACATTCGGATTATTTCTAGCAAATGTCATAACGGACAGGTGGGAGTAAATAATACTCGAGGAATGGCAACTTGTGCCCTGTTTTACATCAACACTTGCCAGATTTCATACCAGACCAAGCATAGGGTGCGAATGTCGTCTTACTTTAGCCCTAGGGAGTTGGGGACCATGATTGATCGAGATAAAGCGTCTGCCAATTATCGCATTATGCACATCTGGACTTTCTGATTTACGCAAATAAACGTAGTCCACGATAATAATGAAGCCCGAGTTAGCCACAAATAATATTGTCTCTAATATTTATGGAGATTTTTGTTCGCAATTGTAGTCAGGCGAACGATTGTTTTTCTCGAATTTAATTTAATCTTGGTTAATTTTATCGTCTCCAAGCATATTCTTGCAAGCATTTCCCATTTATAGTAATTCAGATGCAGTTAGAATGTTTTTGTCGTATTACTCTATTCTGCTAACATAAATATAAAATATTGAACTGAAATTTTGAAGATAAAGAATCGGTAATAAGGCTGGCCTTAATTCAATATAACAAGAAGTGAAATATCACAGTCACATATATACTGGTGTCGGACTAGGGAAAGCAGTGCTGTTACTGTGTTTATGACATAACAGTACAACTGTTCCCTGCTCATTTTTTCATATGAATTCCATCGAATTGCCTCAGTCATGATACAAGTATAACACAATAATAACTCAGTATTGTAAGACTCGCAGATAAGTTGCAACAGCAAGTTTTTCATCAATGCATTTATTGGTCAATCTATGACCTACATCTTTTTTATCATGATGGAAATAAGTGTGGCTTATTCACTGAAAACCCCTTATCATCCTTGCTATATAGCGTATTCCTTTTTTAAGTTTTTCTCTTCTAGATTTGAGCTGTTTGTAACTTTAAGCAAACATAAGCATGCAATGATAAAAAAAAGCTTAAGGGAATCAGATTCGATTCGAAAATTTTTGATTCGAGATTCGATTCGAAAAAAATGTATCCAGAAGTGGCAACCCTAGTTCCGACATAAAGGATACTCGTGGAAATTCTCGAATATATATGTGCTTCAATTCAACCTTCATAAGCCAAAAAGCCGATGTAACCGCAATATATCCCGAGCGGGCCATGGCAAAGGATATGAATGACTACTTTGAACTCCACAATAAGCCACATATTGTCACGATAGATAAGTTCTCGAATTGGATTGAAATTGATCCAATATCATCGAACGCATTGACTGGCGTATGGAGAAAACATTTCTGTCGACGTGGAATTCTTCTAATCAGACTCAATCAACCATCAAATCAATCAATCAGCAAATCAATTCAAATTCTTCCATTCCAGATTGTTTGCAAACAAATGGGATTTCAACTTGGATTTTCTTCGTAATTCCAGCATCGGTTAACCGATTTTAGATGGTTAACGATTACGATTTTTTCCCCATTGACTGCCATCTCAGCTAATAATTGCTAATATACTGTAGGATTTCTCCAAAAATGATTAGTTTATCACAAATTTATTTTCCATGATGTTGAATTGGCGCTCCCGAAGTATGTGCAACAAGGTGGCGCACAACCTGAACCCTAGCCTGGTACACATACTATGTTCAGGATGTGCGCCATAATTAAAGTATCAGTGCTGCTGATTATGAAAATTTGACAAGAACAACTTCAGAATTAGTTTCCGATCGGAATATAATTTTCACGATTTCATTGCAAAAAAAACTATCTATTCAATACCATTCAACAAGTGGGCATTCTGTCGCAATGATATAAGAAGCATATCGACATTTTAGGGAAGTAGTGACGAACGCTTTGAATTTGCAATATTTAGATCGTGCTGAATACACGCTCTGATGCTGGTAGCAGGTAGAGTGGTAGACACATATATTTTCGCGCCATTGCCGCTACACCTGGATATATTACCTTCTCACCGATCCAGTGGGCCAAAATTGCTTTCGAACAATTGTGACGTAACGATCCTAAATTTTACCTTAGTACGTCAAACGTCACGCTGCGGTTAACAAGTGTTTTCACTGAAATTCCCAGCCCTGCCTACAAGACATCCTCAGATTCCAATATGACAACAAGGCAAAATATTCACTGCATTTGAAGGAGATGGTAAACTCTAGGTGTTTAATCGTATTCGATTCAGATTTACCAATAAAGCTTTTTAGCGACTAATGGATGAATTGTCAAAAAACTTATAATCTATCTACAAAAGAGGAGAATGACTATAATGTGCAAAAAATTCCCCGATATTCTTAAGAAGAACAATTTTCAAATTCCGGAAGTCTAGCTCGATGTCTCGCCTCCAACCAATATCGCGCATTGCAAAGAATGAACTGACTGTTTGCGTATTATTCGAAATTGATTGTAAATTTACATACCAAATCCAACGACTCCGCCACGCAAAATATCCCAATGGAAATCGGCAATCAGTGAAGCTGTGCGTAAGTGGGCTCATTTTCTGGCCAGACGGCTGCGGCAACCAAAAACAAACAAACATAAAGTTTAGTCTTGAGAGGCCTCATTCAGTTACGACGTTAGATATGGTCCGGAAAATGTCGCATCTAATGCTTTAACACGTTTATGTCACGCAAGCGTTACAAGACTACATTTTGCTAAATCAAAAAATTTGCCTGACTATGAACTTCAAAGGACCTTTGTCATCGCTAAAAAATGTATACATGATAACCATAGTCGATGAATATTCTAGAATAGACCCTGGTGGTCCGAAATCTTTTTATTATTTATTGGTAGAACACTTGTGATCTTTTTAAGTATTCCAACTGGGGTTGGGCTCCCGATATTCAATTCCTATAGTTATCCCGTTGTCGAGAATGATAAATATTTGATAAAATCACGGAAGATTGTATCTATAAACCTCAATGCAGTGCCGATATGGGGATGACGTCCTGTGATCGGCACGACCACGATTCGAGAAACAGTTACCGATACCTTTCAAGGCGGCACTTCGTTTTCTACAAGTAATCAAGCGATAGTAGGTGAAAGATTGCGCGGAGCATAAGAAGTAGGGATGGGGGGACTATTCATCTAAACTTTGCACCTTAAACTCGCGTCAAGCAACTCCTTACCTGGAGGAACGTTTGCTTTCATTTTAGTGAAAATACACCTATATCTTTAAGCTTCAAGTCATGCGACAGCAGTGACCACTCGCAGATATGACGCGAGTGCCGCGCGATCCTGTTTTTTTTTCAGATTCGTTCCGTAATCCCAACTCCGACAGACTTGGTTGTGCTTTGACGATAGAACTGGGCTAACTCACGCTGCAAGTTATAAATAAAATTAGTCAAATCTACCAATTCATCATAAAATGAGTGTCAAAACAAGGTAACAGAGAAAAACAGAAAGTTTAATGCCAACTGGGAAGAAACTATTTTTTGCCTACAACAATGGTAAACCACTTTGTCTGGTGTTCTTTCAAGTAATAATTGTTACGAAAGAGCATAATTCAAAGCGACATTACAACACCAATCACGAGAAAGGCTATGAAAAAGCAATCCAGCAATTTCAAAAGTTTCCTATCATCTAAGTTCAGTTATTATGTCTTGTGGCGAAATATTGCATTATTTCGCCAACGCAAAATGATCAACAAAGAGATTCTATGGTAGAATAGGATTATTACTTATCGATCTTAAGATCGATAAGTATGTTGATAGGTATTTGTCTGTTTGTTTGTTTGTCTGTTAGATACACGCGATATTTCACGAAAGCGAGGATGAATCCGCTTCAAATTTTGCATATGCATTCAACATATCTCGGATCAGAAGCCTATTGATTTTGGATGAATTATGTCGTATAATTAGCGAGTTATTAATTGATTAGTGATGGGACACAAGGTGTAACTATGGAGTAAGAGTTTATTTCTGAGTCACCCTGCGCATTCAGCAAATTATCAATTTCCCGCTCTTCGACTGTTCCTAATAATTCAGTTAATCCCGCGGATTCCCGAACTCATTTCCTCCCGTTTCATGTTATATGCAGATCAAATGTACACATAGTTTATATACATAACAAACGCATGTAATGTTCGTTTTCGCAACTTGCTCGACTAAATAAGCGCTCTACTTCTGCCGATTACACTGGTATGGCCGCAATTTTCGTACCCGCATTTAGCAGTGGAAATCTGTGTCCATTTTTCTAATAATCCAATGGTTGTGAATTTAGTTGCCGTAATTTTTGAAACAAAGTAAATAATAGAAACAAGTATCTAAAGAAAAAAGAATGATAAAAAAGTAGGAAATACAAAAGTGTGCTATTACATCCCATGGGAGGATTTTTATAAGAGTCCCATTCTCATGAATGAGCCTGTTTATACCTGGTCGCCGTTAACGAACCATAATCACGCAGTAGGACCATGGCCGAGTAGAAGAGCTGATAATAGTATAGTACAATATTAGTAAATAAAATTTCATGAAGTCAAAAGTTCATGTCATCAAATTTTGTTTTCGGAGTCGACTATTTGAGTCAGAAGTCAAAAATTTATTTTATAGTCAAATCTGTAATCGCTTTTTTAATATTTTGGAGTCTGATGAACTTCTTTTCTACTCTTAAGCCTCTTTACGATTTAGAACCCGATATTTCATACTTTGTTCGTGGCGTAAGGCTTTATTAAATTAAATGTAAGTATTTGTATTTCAGCATCGATTAATTTCATATTTTCCTCTAACCCTGCCCGCTTTTTAATAATTTTTATTCCAATATGAGGTGTATTTCAAAAAAGCTTAACAAAAAATACCATTACTAAAAGTTTGTATTTTGAAAGTCTCAAACATTTTGTAATAATTTAGTATCACACTGGAAATTTTATTTCTGAGTCACCCTGCGCATTCAGCAAATTATCAATTTCCCGCTCTTCGACTGTTCCTAATAATTCAGTTAATCCCGCGGATTCCCGAACTTATTTCCTCCCGTTTCATGTTATATGCAGATCAAATGTACACATCGTTTATATACATAACAAACGCATGTAATGTTCGTTTTCGCAACTTGCTCGACTAAATAAGCGCTCTACTTCTGCCGATTACACTGGTATGGCCGCAATTTTCGTACCCGCATTTAGCAGTGGAAATCTATGTCCATTTTTTTAATAATCCAATGGTTGTGAATTTAGTTGCCGTAATTTTTGAAACAAAGTAAATAATAGAAACAAGTATCTAAAGAAAAAAGAATGATAAAAAAGTAGGAAATACAAAAGTGTGCTATTACATCCCATGGGAGGATTTTTATAAGAGTCCCATTCTCATGAATGAGCCTGTTTATACCTGGTCGCCGTTAACGAACCATAATCACGCAGTAGGACCATGGCCGAGTAGAAGAGCTGATAATAGTATAGTACAATATTAGTAAATAAAATTTCATGAAGTCAAAAGTTCATGTCATCAAATTTTGTTTTCGGAGTCGACTATTTGAGTCAGAAGTCAAAAATTTATTTTATAGTCAAATCTGTAATCACTTTTCCAATATTTTGGAGTCTGATGAACTTCTTTTCTACTCTTAAGCCTCTTTACGATTTAGAACCCGATATTTCATACTTTGTTCGTGGCGTAATGCTTTATTAAATTAAATGTAGGTATTTGTATTTCAGCATCGATTAATTTCATATTTTCCTCTAACCCTGCCCGCTTTTTATTAATTTTTATTCCAATATGAGGTGTATTTCAAAAAAGTTTAACAAAAAATACCATTACTAAAAGTTTGTATTTTGAAAGTCTCAACCATTTTGTTTTTACGCCGACCACTTTTTGCCCGCCACGTGGCTGAATTAAAGCTGAGTTGATGTCTTGCGTTCGTCTTCGTCGACAACAATAGCTGCTTTATTGTCGTATCCTTCAGTCATTTTCTCTCTCCTGAAGAGATAATTTTGTTATTTTTTTTAGTGTTTTTTTTAATATTAGTTATAGGTATAACTAATAATAATGGGAATGCGATTGTATATATATATATATATATATATACATAACGTTTTCACACATTAGACAATAATAGTACGTTTACTGGTAATCGCGAAGTATGTGAACCAAGATGGCGGACACCGGAACGTAGTATGTGTACCAGGTTGGGGTTAGGCCATCATTTCAGGTACAAGTACTGCGAGTCACTTGGCTAGTCCCCGAACTCGTAAAAGAACTAAAATAGGGAAAATTGGAATAAAATTATGGCCTAACCCTGACCTGGTACACATACTACGTTCCGGTGTCCGCCATCTTGGTTCACATACTTCGGGAGTGCCTGTTCACTTATTGCATAAAATTGATGCCGTATTGCCGCTAGAGGTGTGATAGATATCAATATTAAATACAAATAATATTTCAAATGGCCACCCGCCTTGATATGTCCTTTCCTGCGTAGAATAATTCTGCTTCTTCGATGGTTTCCATCATCGGTTTGCCTGTAGTGTCGCGGAAAGTCAGAGACAAGAGACCGCCAATCACTGCCACCGCCCCGAATATGGTATTCGGTAACCATGACACATAATCTTGAAGACCGATGATAAAAGGTGACAAAACGCTCCCAATCCTGGCACTCATTGAACCAAATCCTATACCGTTGCTCCTAAATATGGTCAAATCAGAATTGTGCTGAAGTTGTCAAGTTGAGGAATATTTGAATTAGTGTGAAAATTTTCAAACAGTAGGAGTGGTGTGAATCTTACTAAATTTATGCGCTTTTGATATAGTTATTTCAGAGGTTTTGGTAAAATTTGCAACCGACATTCTTAACTTTTGATCGATTCTCGACTGGTTCAGGCCATGGAGAAATACATATATTTGTTTGACAGAATACAGTACATTTTTACTTATCGACCATTTTGCATTATATATTATGCTTTCAGACTAAGTTGTCTATATCAAGAATGTAAGATTTATCGAAAAATTCTTAAATCTGAATTTATTTTGTATAATAAAATATTGAAATATTCACCTGACTACTGTGGGAAACAATTCTCCCGTGAAATTATAAATGACAGCAAACGATCCTGACACAAGTGCTTTTCCGATGAAGGCAAACACAACACCAACCAATATAAGGCCTAGAAGAATAAAGAAGAAATTACATCGCATAACAAACCATAAAATTCTAGAGAGGAAACCTGTTATGCTAGTCATTAGGTACATGCTGTTCAAAAGCAAAGTAATTAAACAAACTAAATAATTACTAAAATAATGCAAAGAAAGTTACTTTCGTCTCCATCTGCAAATGCATTGACAATTGTACTGACTAATAAAGCCACTCCTGCTCCAGTTAATGTAATTGTCAGCAGAAGACGACGCCCAACAAAATCCATGGTGGCGGCACAAACTGTATAGCTTGCAATTTCTAATACTCCAGCTAAAGAATAAATTGAAAGCAAATTCAAAATTAGAAAAATTATTCGATGTATATGCGAATCGGGATGCTATAAAAGAAAGTCTTTATTACAATACTGTATGGTTTTGCATAAACAGTGAAGCTTTTGCTAAAATGTTATGCCGACATGCATCAAAACGGTTATATTTTTGCAAAACAAAGCTCATAATCATAGAATACAGTATTCAGATATCGTCATTTGTACTATATATAGATAAAAAAAAAATTCACCGTATATATTATTAAGAAATATGTCTCCTGCCAGAGATCCAGCGTTCAAGGAAATTCCATAATACACCATGCTGTTCACCGCCCTGAACAAATATTTAATATAAGAAAGATTGATAAACTTATTCGTGGAAAATTACAGCACAGCTTAAAAGCATCATTTCACAATATTTTCATTATGAGACGTCAAATCTTGATTCTAGATTATGGGGCTATACCTATATGTCTCATCAAAAAGATTGAATGATTTGTACTTAGTTGGTTAGAAATTAGAATAAACATTACTGAAATGCTGTCGTTCCTTACCAGTTAAATCCAACTTTTAGTGTCACTATTCTCAACTTGGAATGTTTAAACAAATCTATCGTCGAGTAACTCGTGTCATCTGTTTCGTCATTCTGTAATGGTAAAAATTGCATCTACGCCGTGCCATTGCTAGTATTAACTTTAAATTATATCTAATTGTTTCCTATAATAATTACATGTGTTCATATGGATATAACGTTGTAGAAACGGCCAGTCTGCATCTCAATACCGAAACTCCAACTTCGACTTGACATTTCTTGATTCCACCCGATTTCATTTTTTATGCAATGGTATTTCAGCAAGAGGAAAAATTTGTTTGTAGCGATATAATGTGTTAATATAATATGTGTACGGACCTCTCTTTCTTGGGCGGATTTTTCTGCTTCACTCCAAATATTTTCGTCCAATTTGACTTTGTTCAATCTTGCCATTATGGAGACAACCTACAACAAATCACAAAAATGTATTTACAAAACTGACATTTGCGGAAAAAATGAAATTGAACTAACTTTAAGGAGGATTTTTTTAGAAAGTATCAAGTTCATGATTACATAGGTCCGAGGATAATTCTAATTGCCATTTGTTGCAAATCTCCCAAAGTTCAATGATAAATTATATCATTCCAAACATTCTACATATACTCAATAAACATTAAATTACACTAGAATCGAATAACTTTATATGTACGTTTATTTTTTATTTTTTCCACATTTCATGAATCTAAATACCGTCTCGATCGGTTGTTGTTGTGAATTTTCTTCTAACTCAACCTCCCTTAGTGTTGAACCAATTGCTAGGAGATTTTAATCATAATACTCACTTAAGCTATATTTGCTAACCATCTTCAAACTTTTGCGATACTGTTGTACCATTTAGGATAGTATTACGGTACCTTCTCAGTAATGCCTTGAGAGTATACATAATTTATTTTAGATTCTATATCCAAGTTTTTTCATTTTTTGAAGACAAACCTTTTTTCCCTTTTTCTCTTTTCCTGCTGTAAAAAGCCATCTACCAGACTCTGGTACAATCAAAACAATGATTGCAAGCGGCGCACTCATAACTACAGCTCCTAGCTAAAAAGTAAGTGTGAACAATATTTTATATATAAAAACGAGCAGCCTACAATTTGTGTAAGAAAAAGAGGAATCACGCTAATATGAATCATTGTATGATTAGGTAATTAAGAGAATGCTGAATATTTGAAAATTAAACCGTGTCATAACTTTAAAAAATATCTGATGCATGAAGATTTCATTGAAATCCATAACGAGAATACGAACCTCCATTTGATGCCAATCTCGGTAAAGATATGCAATCCCAGACCATAACATGTAGCCAATTGCAAATGCCATTTGATAGGATATTCCAACGAGTGTTCGCCACTTGGTTCCGACCATTTCCATAACTGTAAAGTGGTGAAGTACGCATGAAGCTTACTTAGTATTATCTTATCTCATATTTTCTTCCTACAAGCACACAAATACTGTGAGTGGTATATATATATATATATTACAACATGTGTTGCTGTTATGCAAATCTTGTTTTGTAACTTTTTTGGGTACCATTCTAATTAACGATAAAATCACAAATTTACCCACTGAAAATGCATTCATTTTGAATTTGTGCACAAAATGTATTCTATTGTTTACAGCATTGTAATCGGCTAAAACTACTATAGAATGCTTGCAAAAATTGTAAATGAATATTTCACGAATAAATCTCTGTATCACGTTATACTATAATATATATATTGACTTTGGGTGCATATGAACTGTAGGTATGTTGTCATGAAAATGCGCCTCTGGTATAAAATATAAAAGGTTCATACTATAGCAGAATATTGCAACATTGCATCCCATTGCAAATGTTGCCACGAGAAACCGAGTAAATGAGAACAGTTCAATCATGTTACAAAAGGCAACACCAAGCATCGAGAAGAGCATGCCATAGCATGTGAGAATTATAGTGAATTTCCTGCCGAATCTAAATTTAAAAGAATGTTTTATTGTAGTTTCACAATACCCTTTTATTTACGGCAGCATAAAATATGTCATTTTGAGCATACTTTCAATCTAGAATAGACATGGGCAAACTACGGCCCGCGGGTCAAATGCGGCCCGTTGGGTAATTCAATATGGCCCACCTGATGCTGTCACAACCAAACTAAAAACGAATTCTGCTGTTTTAGCAAAAAATAGCTCGAGAAATTTGTTGGGATTGCGATCAAATTGAGTTTTGAGTTGGGTTTGGGTTCAAATTGAGAGTTGAGTTTTGTTTTCTATTCTTGCTTTTGTAACACTGTAAATATTGTCCATAAAATGTAACTTTTACTTCATACTTACATGGCCCGCCAGACTAGATGGGCAAAATTTTCGGCCCCTCGTCCGAAAACCTTACCCACCCCTGATCTAGAACATAACTTCTATGGTCCGAAACATATTCAACTTTCTAATATGATTACATAAACTAATATCACGACTAACCTGTCTGCAATATTTCCAAAGAGTAGTGATCCAACAAACATTCCAATCATGTATGCCGAACTTGACAGTGAATGTGATATTCTTCTATCGCAGACAAGATCGAACTGAATAAAAATATCTCAATATAAACTCATTCTTAAAAGATTAGTTGTGACATTGCAATCATGCAAAGCTGTATAAAAAGATCAAAATTAAAGTTCAAGAGAAAACAAAATTATAAACAAATCCAAAATCTTTTTTGGCATGAAGATGCATGCATACCTCTGTTACTGTAGTTTTCTCAAAAGGACTATCATTATAATAGTACTCGTCGCAAGACACAAGTGGCTCACTTTTGTTCACACAGGAAAAATCATTTGGTCCAGAACATTCTGTTAAATCGTATCCGTACCTGTATACGAAAACATTGTTTTTCCTAGTTTGATCAATTTATTTAGCTGGTGAGCCTCTGTCAAGAGTTATTGATTAACGGCATTGAGTACGTTACAAACAATCAGGTTGGCGTTGCTCATTGACAACGAATATAATTAGATTTGTTTGTTTTATCAAAAGAGTACATGTAGTATTACAAGCCTGGTATTATTGCCATGAGGAATTTCATTTATTTACATGATCAAGAAATTGCATACTTTTTTAATTCATCTGAGTGTTACCTTTGACATGCATCAATTGGATTATTTTTGTCGTCGAGTGGAGTTGTTAGATTAAACAATTCTTCATTGGTTAGATTTGGGTAAAGAGAAGAGTTGTCGAACGGGTACATAAGACATCTAAAAACAAATGTATTTCGTTCAGCGTTGACGCCCTGCTGAAGAGGTCACTAATGTCAGCATTGCTTTTAGAACAACAGTTGTCTTGACTGAAGGAACTTATTTAAAATGAAAAGAAAAATTTGGTTATCAATTTATAATAATATTTATGTATAATGAAAATGTTCGATTTTTTGTTTTATTCATGGTTATTATATAGTAATTGTTCTGTTTTTTCTTAGCCAAAATATTAATTTTTGAAGTTTTATTTGATATGCAGGAACTCACCTGTACTCTGGTGTATATGACAAAAACACCGATGCGAGTGCATTCAGACCTGATGGTATACCAAAATAACACAATGATATAAATACAATAATCTGGTACTTGCCAAATGTACCAACTCTTTCCAATAAATAGTCGAAGTCCAGCATATTTTACTTTTCACTGAAATAAATATGAATTAACTTCGTAGTGTTTTCATAAGTAATTTTATGCAACTTCTTATTTAAAAGGACGCAGCTGCTTTTATCCATATTTGATGGATTCTAGTGTATTTTTTTCAGAAAGCGTCCCAGCAGCAAAACATGTGTCAAACACATTTATCAAAGTTAACGGATCATCATATTCGTCTCTGAAAGACCATGAACTCTCGTTCAAATTGCAACACTACGGGATTTACTATAATTTCATTACTAGTTTGCACTGTTGACACTACGTCATTTGACACGATACCTTACAAATGTAACAACATATCGAATAAAATACTATGGTTGCAATTAATATTTAAACCAGTCAGGAATATAGGTGATATTTAGTTATCAAGAAATACCGACAATAAATAATATGCAATTTAGGTTAATTTAAGATTTGACCTATACAAGAATAAAAACATTCTTTTTCGCGTTGTTTGCCACGTAAAGTATATGTCAAAAAACGTCATGTTTTTTCTAACATCGCATCCCAGCTTAATCATCAATTGAACCCCACTGAGTTGAACTTTCTATTGTAGATAGTTTGTATACGTGCGAGTTCTGATACACTTTTTGTGGGCATTCGCACAAGCGAAACTGGTATTTGCGGGTGAAAACCCTCTGAGAAAAGTGATTTTATGAGAATGAATCATTGACCGCTCAAGGTTTTCTGGAACAGATTCTAGAAAGATATTATCCGCCTACAGCTACATTTTGCCAATAACGTGGTGAAAGACAAACTTTCTCCTGTTTCAAGAATTGGTGTGGATTGTGGTGTATAGAAAAGTATTATCTCAATTCATATAACGTTGCAAACGAAGCTTTCCATAGCTGTAGCGTTGCATTATTATCGACTGATATTTTCTATTTCTATTGACTGTCGTTCGCCGATTCGCCTTTTATACTTATCTAAATTTGTGTACACTCTCTGTCACGACGGCTTCGCGAAGAAAGGTCTCAAAATGTTTGTCTTTGAGTCTTACTCTTTTTGTTGAAAGTATTCACTTTCCAGCATATTATACTCATGTCATGACTTTGATCGGTTCTGCAAAGATCAATTTATTTCCATTATAATATTTTTATATATAGCTAATGCAAAATTATCAGAAATTTACCCACAAATCGTTTCTCTGAGTCGCGAATGCTGGATATGGAACTGACGAAACTTGCTTCTTTGACTCGCCTACAAAAAACTGCCTTCTCAATAAAACTTCGTTTCAGCAAAAATTCGTTTGTTCAATACTCATTTTTTACAAAAAAAAATTTGCCACAATTGGACATTCTCGTTAGCTTTACCTCACAAAAGATTCTTCTAATTTTTACCACTTTTTGCCAATAAAAGCGGCGGCAAAGGCGGTGTGACTTTTGTCTAGCAATATAGGCGCGGTCCACAGTTCTCTCCGAAGTTTGTTATACTTCATCTCAACGAAGAATAACTCAAGAACACTCCTATATTATCAAGTATACTTATAAATTGAATAGACTCGTAATACCTGAACTATATATAATCGGAATCTCATGAAGTTTATGAAAGTTTTCGAAAACATATTTTTAAATTTTCAGCGTTTTTCTTTATGATTCATACTGTTTGTTGGATTTTTCAATAAATCATACCGATTCCTTCATAACATGCTATTATGCTATCTTTTCTGAATAGTTCGCACCGTGTAAACATTTTTACCTATTCTGGGACTCATACTATTCACCATTGCGTAACCTCGTACGGAGAATATATACCACCTTTAGAGTTTGTCATGTATGATCCGTACATCGGGATGAACTAAACGACGTATCTGTGCGAGTATATAAATTAAATTGTTTTCTTCCAATAACCTCGGCAGTTAAATAAAGGCGTGCACAGGCATGCACAGATTTCATTTATATTTTCCGAACTTCAACCTGAAGACATACAATTACTTCAGAATTCCTAATATATATATTATCACCTGTCAATTTACGATTGCTGTTTTGATGGATTTCTTCAAAGAATAATGGATAGGTTAGGATGACGACAATTGCATTCAGTAATTACAAAAGAAGCGCAAATCAAACAAAAGTTTATTTGCCTGGTATAAATATGCCCTGCATCTACAGTGTTTGCAATCATTGGTGTTATAGTGTGAAACGACTTTGTAAATTTATACGCCCTGTCGAACAAACTTATTGTGGTTATGGAAATTTACAAATCGATGCTTGCAAATAATTTCAGTAATTTCACTTGAACATTAGCGCATTTAATGGTATAGGAAATATAACTTAAAACTTGAAATTTGCATTTGTGACAAACTCTGACGTGATAAATTCACTTTCAAATGAAAAGTTTCAAAACTAAAACAAATTTTAAATGATCTTGAAATTCATCCCGAATCACTTTCTGGTACAACAGAAGATCATGTCTTCTTGAATAAAATTATTTCGTCTGACCTATTACTGCCTAGTGCAAACAATATTCTTGTTGATAACTTTTCAATAATATTAACACGCGGGAATGTAGAACATCGTTTGCGTTGTACATTTATTTTCACAATATTTTCAAGTGTATGGCAAAAACGCTTTGCTTCTAACGAACATACCATGAATGAATATTTTGCAAAAGAAAACAAGTTTAGAGATAAATATTTAAAGAGTAATTGCATTTGCCCTTCCTCGATTAACCTTTCTATTTGCGCAGCTGATATTTCGTTCAATAGAGAATTATTTCGTCATAATGAGATATTTAAACACACCAAGTGCATGCAAGGGAAATGACAAGGCAAAAAAGAGTCGCGATAATACAAAATATAAATGGTTAAATTAAATGTTAATTCTGTGCAATTGCGGTTTCAATATATTTTTTTCCCACCATAATCGTATAATGATGATAAATCGTGTCAAGGTTTTTGAAATGCTGAGAAATATCCCGATATCAATGATGGGCCCTTCAACGATATATATCAACGAAGGTCATTTTCAAAACATTTTTTTTTAATCAAAGGGATTTTTCACCCTATTGCACATATTGTATCAAGGATTAAAAAAATAGTAGAATGAAAGTCCTTAGTTTCCAAAATTTCAAATCCTTCACCCTTAAAAAAACAGAAGAACGAATTGGAGTTCGGCTTTCTTGTATTTGTATTATTCGGGTTCACCTGACTTTCTCGTATTCTTTTTCGTTTTATTTTTATCAAAATCTATGGTTAATTAAATATTTTCAGTTGCCGTTTCGTTTATGACAGAGTTTTAGTGTAGTTGCAGCAATCAGAAAATTGACAAACATTTATCAACCAAAGAAGAATGAATGCAGGTAGCAGTCGGGTAAGGGATTGTTTAGTCGTCAAGGCAGGGCTAAATGTCATGCTATGCCCGCACAGTGATACCATAGTTGTACTTAAAATATGGTTCGCCTGCGGCTGCTTCACTAAATAGGAATTGCAATGCACCGTTTTTCCATATCTTGAAACGGTGGGAAACAGCTTCGATCTGTATATTTTTCGAACCGTTTTATAAACAGAAGCAATTGGAAAGGTATCCTGAGATATTACACAGTCATTTGGTCAAGCCTGATCTAACTCTTATATTTATTTTAAAACAAAGCCGCGGTGCCATAAAATCATGCATGCATGTCGACACTGTCAAATGAAATCGTAACGATTAATTATCATAGCGGTAAACACTAACCCAAAAATTTGATGATAATTTGTTTTTAAAATCAAAATATATTGTGGGTATAAACGCATAATTAAAATAACTTTACAATAAAATAGGCAAAAACTTGGACAGATACTTTCAATATGACAAAACACGTAGGTCAAACTACAAAAAACAAAAACGAACTAAATTTGACTTAAGTTCAATTATATTCCTCTTACTGGGTTCAGGAAATGTTCTGGTATGAATTAACAACAAAGTCATCATTCCAATCAATTACGGAAAACGGGCAAAAACTTTATCTTTCTGACGAAATAATTATAACATTATAAAAACGTTTACGAAATTCCCCAAAATAGTGAAATTCAGATATGATCCTTTTTTGAAGCTCAAAAATAGTTGATATGATAGAACAACTATAGCATATTTCCTATTATATAACCACAATAACCAACACAATGGACGAATATTTCAACCGAAGTCAAACAGTACACTTACGATATATCAACAAAACTTAATCAAAAACAACTCATTTTGACCCCAAAGTAAATCCTTGTCACGCAACAACATTATTTTCAGTACCAAAACAAATTTTTCCAATAATTAACATAATAAATCATGCTCATTTTTTGAGACACATAACATCATTTGTAGTTCTAGAACAACTTTTTCCAATCAAATAACGAACTGTTGAAGATCAATCAAATTAGCATTTTGTTGACTGTGCGAACGAAACCCCACTGTAAGGCTGATCTAGGATTCTAGGCTATTTGATTTTACCAATTTCTTAAAATAATCCATCGTACCTAAGTTTTCAAATGTTCACCAAGTTAATCTTGGAACTGATTCATGTGATACAGCTGCCTATTTATCATCGTTTACAGCTGAGAGCACAACCTGCGTAAATCGCAATTGGAGACGTACATTCGCACAAAAGCGCAATGAATAGAAAAATCGACCGATCAACAAACAAAGACTTGAACCTAACTATATTCAAGTACAAATAAATTTAAGCCTGCACTTATATTTGATGTTTGAATCAGTGATTTCTTTTATTTATTCTTGGGGTCATTTTTTTGGTGTACGTTGTATTGTGATAACAATCTAATGAACCTGTTCGAACTTTATTTTATTTTGTACCTCTTTATTCTCTGGTTGTAGCTCCTCGTCTATTTTCCCACCAGTATCTTTAACACCTACTCTCTTCGTCAGTTCGGAATTAGGTGGCTTGCCTTGATCTTTATAATGTACTAATTTTGTTATAAACTATTTGCTAGTTTCTATAATTAGTAAGAAATCAATGTATACAAATTCCCACATGTAGATTATGTTTAGAAACTGAATTCA